GAAGTGCTGGTCCGTTGGCGGCCCACCAGTGGTCTGCTTCTTGGTGCAGATAATACACCGCAATATTCACCCGTTGCTCCGACGGGCAATTCAGTGAATCAAAGAGCTTGTCGAAAGTGCGGATCCAGTCCTCCAAGATAAGGTGGTCCTCCTCGCCCAAGTATTTTGGAGGGTTCCGTCCGGCTACCTTTGTTGCGTAGTCGATCCCAGGGTTTTGGGGTTGAGCTGCTCCGATGAGCTGTGCCATTCGCTGGACAGTTTGGGCCAGCTCGTCGACAGTTGGGGTCGCATGGATGTCTCTTCTCGGCGGCATGACTCTTAATAAAGAAAGCGTGTACTAAGTTCTAAGGCATGCATAAGACTTCTACGTTATACAAGTTCTCTACTATCTTCAAACAGATAAACACATACAGAGGATCTTACTTACTCCACATACTTCACATAAGCACGAATTTCATGCATTTCATAACTCAATAATTTCGCAAAGGTTTCTCCCTCTCAGCGCGTCCTAAAAGGTCTTTTTCCTAGTATGTTAATTCTCCTAATTTTACAAAAACATTTTGAAAAATCCCCGCATTGAAACTATAGTTTTCGTCAAAGATTTCGAACAACGAAGTTTCAGCACAAGGAGAAATTCCCAGTTAGTTGGACGAGCGCAAGGCTCAATTAGGCACCAACTAGCTTAGACTGTTATCGTCTTTGTGACAGAATTTCTCCCTACGACCTATTACCTCGTGTTCTAGTCCCTTCGGAAAACTTAAAGCTCTGATACCAATTTGTAACACCCCTAAATTTCCCGCCCAAAACATTGATATATTTAAAAGAAATACTTTATTCATTCATCAAAGAGTCGAAGAAATACAGCGGAAGTCTAAAAGGGAAATGAGTGTTACCGCCACATTCGGTCATCTCTTAACCGAATGCACAGGCAACTCAAAGTAAAATAATAAAAACTAATGTAATAATAAGTAAATGTTTGATTTATGACTAGATTTAACTAAGGCATCTTCTAATTCGCACTCAAGCTCGAGCAATCCGTCAATCCACATAGGTATCCAACTCATCACCTGATTTAAGGGAGAAAAGAGAGACAAGAAAATAACAAAAATTAGCTTTAGAGCTAAGTAAGTACTACCCAACCCCGTAAAATAATCAGGTTTGGCTAAAAATAGATTTTTATATAATAATATATAAAAATGACGCACTCTTCCAAAATACCTCTCTCTTTGATTTTTCTTAAAATCACTTCTTTGCTAAAATCTGAAACTTCTCTTGGAAAATCTCTTAGTAACTCTTCTTTTTAAACTTCTTAAAAAAAATCACTTCTTCTCTAACTTCCTAGTAATTTAGAAGGGCGGTGCTCAACCTTTCGATAGAGCCCGGTGAACCGTGGTTACGGACGGCCACCCCGAACAAGTGCCGGTACCACAACTGCTCTGTTGGAAACGAAACGACTACCTTAAGTGTGCACACCCTCTAAAAGGGATTACAAGCCCTCCGAGTAGTAAGTCATCCCGAGTGGTCGGAACCCAACCACCCCAATTCTAAAATGCTTGAATGATTAGGGACTACTACTATAACTTCTTCTTAAAAGGGATCATAGATCCAAATCTTACTTAAAAGGGATCATAGATCCAAATCTTGCTTAAAAGGGATCATAGATCCAAACTGTACTTCTTAGTAGTAGTAGCTCTAATCACCCTCCACATTTATCCGGATGTGGAAAAACCGACACCTCGGATTACTCCCGAGATGCTATCTTCTTATGAAAATGTAAATTTTATCTTTGCTTAACAATACTTCAAAAATGCTTCTTAAATTCTCTAAAAAATCTCAAAGGTATTTAAAAATATTTAATACCCCAAAAGTACTTGATTTATATTTCTTAACTACCATATATATAATATCTCCTCAAAATCACATACACAAAATTTACAATTCACACTTAATCACATAATGCATAATAAGCATATAATACGAGGAAACAATTTTGGATTGGCAGAGAAACTTACCTTAAGTCCTGTTGCTCCAAAATTGTTTCACAATTTTGGATTGGCAGAGCACTTGAATTAAATGGTAAAGTAATCCGGTCTCTAGATAAGTTATCATAGTCCCCACTTGAATTAAATGGTAAAGTAATCCGGAGGACATAGTCCCCCACTTCAAGTGGGGGACTATGTCCTCCGGAGGAGGGAAGCCAGCCAACCAACCGAGGGAGGAAAAATGGCACCAAAATTCGAAGGCCCCTACATCGTAGCAGCCATCATCAAACCTGGAACTTACAAACTCAAACGCCCCAACGGGAAAGAGGTCCCTAGGCATTGGAATGTACACCACTTAGTTAAATTTTATCAATAATGTAAGAGCGGCCAAGCCCTCATAACTAGTGAATGTACTGTCCTATGGCCCAAGGCCTCCAATTTTGAAGAATGAAGATACATTCAAGACACCAAGGAAAAAACACTTATGAGCGGCCAAGCCCTCATACCAACTACAGGCCCCAGGCCTCACCACGTGAAGAACCCCCTCCGGCACCAATTGCCGAGGGTTGACACCATCAACACCTTCAACAACATCGAAAACACCAAGTGTTTCAAACAAAACCCCTCGGTACCAAGTACCGAAGGTAGGAACTCCCATCACCGGCAACAGGAAACACCAAGTGTTTCATTTCAAGACCCTTCGGCACCCAGTGTCGGGGATACACATCTCCCCCTTCAACATCAAAAAGAAGAACACCTGGTGTTCTTACAGAAGACCCCTCGGTACCAAGTACCGGGGGTACATATCTCCACCATCAACGTCAAAGATAAGAACACCAAGTGTTCCTACAGAAGACCCCTCGGTACCAAGTACCAGGGGGTACATATCTCACCCATCAACATCAAATAGAGGAAGAACACTAAGTGTTCCTACAGAAGACCCCTCGGTACCAAGTACCGGGGGCTACACATCGAAACTAACACCAAGTGTTGTTTCTAAAAGCCGTACCCCACGAGGACGCATATACCGAAGGCGCCACCATCGGTGCCGGCGGCACGTAGTGCCCCCGACCATTTGAAACTAGTGTGCAAATGAAAACCCTTCCTTGAAACGCTTTCCGCGTCACTACCCCCAGGGTATGACAGGCATGAGAAATGCCCAGGATTCGACTTTCAAAAACGGAACGCTATCCGCGTCATCACCCCAAGGGTATGACAGGCACGAGAAATGCTCAGGATTCGACTTCCAAACCGAAACGCTCCCCGCGCCACCACCCCAAGGGTGTGGCAGGCCACGGACTATGTCTGGCGCCGAGGGGACGACTTTCAAAAATGAGGCGCTTTCCGCGCCATCCCCCAAGGGGAGGCAGGTTACAGACCATCATATCTTGTACCCAGGAAACGACCCTCGATCCCCTCGGAACTCGGAAGGTTAACCCGAGGGAGGAGAGCCATTGGTGTATTCTGATGGTCTCCTGATAGGCCCAGCCTTACCAAGAAACCAAGTTTCTTGATGCCTTCCCTTCACCACCAACCAAAAAGGGGGGGGGGGGGGGGGTGAAGGGGAGTAGACTCAGCGAGAAATCAAAGAGTACACTCCAACATATCACAACATGCCGAGGGCTTCCCACGGGAACACCTCCGGTAATTGAAGGCTCCTATTTCCCGAAGGATACTACTCAAACAAATATCGTCAAGAAATGGCTAAGTCCACTGCTTGGTCACCTTCGGTCACACAAACACCGAAGGCTTCAACAATACGAAGGGACTGGACTGTCCAAAGTCCACTGAACGGCACCTCAAACAAATACCGAGGGCATCTGTTATGCACCACCGATGGCCCTTTCCCCATGACAAGGGACACAACTGGCTAAGTCAAACTCCACAACTTTTCAAGTGTATGCCGAGGGCACATACTCCTCATCGGCTTTCTTTACAACAACAGGATTTCACACTTTTCCTAAGTCCACACTTTTGGAAAATGACAACAACCGGAGGCTAATATATCACCCGACAACCGAAGGCATCTGTTACAAATCATCAAAGGCCAACCGAGGGGGCTTATTCCAAAATATTTGCCCCTCGGTCAGACTCCTCACGATCACCCGAAGGGTCCTATTCATATACCCGGAGGGATCTACATCCGGAAGCTCTACATCAATTTACGCTTAGAAGATATTCCAAGTCCTAAATGAGTGGCCCCCGGGCATCTCGCAAAAGTGACGCAGAGTCAGAGGGCACCCATCACCCGAAGGCGACACAAGGAAGCAGCACTTAAAAAAAAATCTAAGTCCTAAAGATTGGGCCCCCAGCCTAATCAATATTACAGCTAAGGGAATATGATAGCCGAAGGCTATGCGATACAACAGCACTTAGAAAATTTTCTAAGTCCTACATAATTTTTCCCTCGGTCAACTGCTCATCTCAACTTATGACGGGACCTAATAGCCGAAGGCTACCTATCAATCGAAGGCTACAGTACACAAGGAATCAACGCTGAGGAAAGTTTTCTAAGTCCTGAAGATTGGCCCCCGGCCTAATCAACGTTTCAGTTGGGGCTCCACAGTAGCCGAAGGCTACATGACACATTACACTTGCAAAAATTTTCTAAGTCCTGTACATTGGGCCCTCGGTCCAATATTCACACATCAGGAAGGAGGCTACCAGCCGAGGGCATCCGAGGGCAAAACTACACTTAGAAATTTTTCTAAGTCCTAGGAATTGGGTTCTCAACCTAATCACCACACAGCAATTGAACTACAAACATCCGAAGGCCCTATGGTGTGCTACACTTAGAAAAATTTTCTAAGTCCTAATTATTGCTGAACCCTCGGTTGTATATCCAGCAAAGGGTGCCCAACTACCGAAGGCTACAACCGTATTCAAACACTTAGAAAATATTCTAAGTCCTAAAACATACATTCAAAGGAGCAAGGGCATACATCCAAAACAAGACGAGGGCATATATTCGACAATGAACAAATCAAAAGAAAGCATGTTATATATCAAAGGCCCGAGGGCATATGTGCTCATTCATCCAAAAAAAAGGAAGTTTAAATGTACTTTACAAAAGGGGCCGAGGCCAACAATTACAACACAAAAGGGGGAATACAATTCAAGAAGGGGGGACTGTGGATATTGCCTCGCTCTCGGATTCATCCTCTTCACCCCCGAGGCCGCACTCCCGGAGGGTCTCCGAGTCTTCAAGAACTGGCCTCTCTTCCCCCTCGGGGAGCGGGATCCTGATGTCTGGCTGGCGAGGGGGGAGGCCATAAGCCTCTGGATGGAACTCCAACGGTGCCACCTGGAAGTGCTTCGCAAGCTTCCGGTAGATAAGGCGTTGGGTGAAGAACTCCCCGCCTTGGTAGTACGAGTCGCCCCTCTCAGCAAGCCACATCTTTCCGGGGCCTCCGACCCACTCGTCCACCGAAGCCCCCACCACCGAAGCAAGCCACTCCCTCCGGTCTTCAGCCTTCCACCCCTCGGCTGTGAAGCTGGTCACCGCATCCTCTCGGGCCTTGGAGACGGCCCTGGACAGTCCCTCGTTAACCCCTTCAGCCCTTGCAGCCTGCACCCTCTGCTCCAAGCCGTCGGTGGCCAGACGAAGAGAGTCCTCAACTTCGACAAGCTTCTTCCTGAGGAGGGCGGCCTCCCCCTCGGCTACACCCTTGGCCTCCCTCATTTGCTCCACCCTCCGGAGATGCTCGCAGAGGCCCATAAAGCTCTGCAATTCACGAAGGCAAGAATAAGGCACGACGAACATGTTACAAAAGGAAAACACAACAACGAACGAAGAAGGGGGGTGACTTACGGAGGCAGCATTCAGGAGGACCTTCGCCTCGAGGGATCCCTCGTCCAACCGGGCAAGGGCTAGTCGGTCAGCCGACGGCAGCATCTGGCTCATCAGAGCCGAAGGGTTCAGACTGCCCTCCAACACGGAGGCTCTCTTCGGTACTAACGCCTCCAACTTCTCCCGCCCAAAGAACTCCTGATTGATTTGTTCCTGGGGGGTGGAGGCAGAGGCGTGCCCTTCATCAACGATCACCACCACATCGGTGATCGGCTGTTTGGCAGGGGCGTTAGTCTTCGGCTTCTTGGCCGGGGGCTCGGTCCCCTTGCCGGCGTTCTTCTTTTTCACGGGCCCCGCACCCTTGGACCCTCCGGCGCCAGCAGCGGCGACAGCAGGTTGAGAGGGCCCCTCCCTGGCAGAAGTGCCCGCCGGGGCCTTCTTCTTCCCTTTCGCGTTCTTTAGAGCGAAGAGGGAACCGACGTCCATATTATTACCTGCAAGCAACAACAAAAAACGCAAGAGGGTTAGACCGAAGGCTACCAGTTACTACGTCATAAAAGATAGGAAATAAGAAAGAACTATCAACGCATCAGTGAACCATTCGGTGATCACCTCCAGCTCCTTCGAAGACTCGATCGAGGGGAGGGTATCTTTCATCCGAAGAGCCCCTCGACCTGAACTGCCGGAAGCCCAGACTAAGCAATTCCTCTGGGAGGGTGACGTCTCTAATCTTGACGTGCTTGTCAGACCCCTCCGGCTTCTTGGCAAGCACTTTGCCATTCTTCTCCAGAGCTGCGCTCCCCACCTTCGGATGGCGTCGGAAGCTATTGCGGAGCTGGGCCGGGAAGGGGTTCTCCTCGAGGCGAATGTAGCAGAACCTCTCCTTCCACCCCTTGTGGGATGAGGGCACGTCATCAAAAAGCCGGAACTCCGGTACCTGCTGAAGGTTGGCAAAGCCCTCAGCATTTGAATGCCCCCCCGGCAGAGGTTGAAGGACATGAAGAATTGATAAAGTGTGGGCTCAACCCCCCCGGCTCTGACACAAGGAGAGGAAGCCGGCCACATAGGAGTGGCTGTTGGGCGTTAGCTGGAAGGGGGCCAACCCCACAAACCTCAGATACTCCTAGAGAAAAGGATGAAGCGGAAACCGAAGCCCCATCTCCACCGAGAGGGTGTGAACAGCAAAACACCCTTCGGGCGCATACCCCAACAAATCATCCGCCCTGGGCTCCACCACGCGCGCCGAAGGGCCAACCAGCATTTGAGTGGCCTGGTATTCTGCCGGGGACGCCCTCGTCTTCAGCTCTAGAGCGGCAGTGTTCAGAAACGAATGGCCTTCGGGTATGCCCACCGGTCGCCCGGCATCAACTGCCGCTTGCTTCTTCCTCGGGGCCGCCTTCATCTTCTTTTTCTTCCCGGGAGCCACACTGATGGGCGTCGGGTCCAATGGCCGGGAGGAGCTGGCTTCCCCGGCACCCCGGGGGGAGGAATGGCAACCGTCACCTTCATCCTCTCCCTCTCCTCTTCTTGCTCGGCGGTTTTCACGGCAAGGGCGAGCTCTTCGTCCTCGTTTTCTTGCTCGAAGCCCTCGGCTTCGACTTCGGCCTGGAGGTCCTTCTCCACTTCCATGGCCACTGCGGCATCACCACCCGCCGAGGACTCCATGCTCGAGGACTCCACATCTGAGCATGTCTCCATCTCGACCGAAGGCTCCCCCGAGATATCATGGGAGTCGCTCTGTGATGACATCTGCTCACTAATTCGAAGGCTCGGGAGAACTAAGGTTTCCTAGAAAATTCTATCTCCTAGCCTAAGGGCACAAGGCACAGCTAACTAGAAGGAGAAGAGCAGGGGGAACTGACCTTGAGAACTGAGGATTCAACCGAGGGCAAGTTTCTCTCTCTAGAAAAATTTTGCCAGAGCTTCGCTACACTGAGATCGCACAGCGGAGAGTGGCCTGGCCTTGGGGTATTTATAGGCGCTGGGATCTGGGCTTGGGCCTGGAAACCGGGCCTCCGGTTGGATCGCCATCATTACAAACCGCGGTATCGCCCAATCGGTGACGCCGCCCACGGACAGCCAACCATCACGCGCCATGTGTACCCCCCCCAACGGCTATATCCTGACGTTACGTATTCCAACGGCTATATTTCCAACGGCTATATTCTGGGAGCCCCCGGACTTTTTTTACTTCACTCCACTTCACCAAGGAGAGCCTCCGGGTACACTTACCCAGAGACGCCCCCGGTTTGTGCCCCACACAGTACATAATAGACGCCTTCGGCATCACTCCTTCAGAAGCCCAAGGCTTCATATCAGGCCACCCCTCGGGGATTCCCCCTCAGCACTGTAAGGACCGAATCGCCCCCGGGAAGTATGCCTCATTGACGGACAGCCTACAGCATGCAGGTAATGGGAGCCCCCGGATATCCCCATCACCAACTAATCAACGAGCAGGGGACCCCCCGGTGACAATTCAACTACTGCCCTCATCCATCGCGCCCTCGATCTCCAGATTGAGGGGCTCCCCTTTAGCGCCCCCGGGACATCAACTGTGAGCCTTCGGCTAATCAACAAATGAGCCCTCAGAAAAAGGAGAGCCTTCGGCTAATCAGCACATGAGCCCTCAGAAAAAGGAGAGCCTTCGGCGTTACCGTTATTCTCCATTTTTGACCAAGGTTTCACATTTTCGATTCATCGTTGGGGGAATTCGGTGCACTCTTTTTCCCTCATTGGGATTTTTTCCCACAAGGTTTTTCCTAATGAGGTTTTTAACGAGGCATCCCCCCAAAATGAAACGAAAAGCGTCAGCCTTCGGCCCACAACAGCAACGCAACTACTCTACTCCTTTTCACCACTTTACAAGTGCCTCAAGGAGTGGGGGACTGGAGGACCCCCTCGGGAAAATCATTAAATCACAAAATTGGTGAAAAATTCCAACAAACGGCAAAGCAAGCCCTCAAGTCCCGACATGTGGGTAACTGAGGGACTGCCTTCGGCAAGGACGTGCAAGCGACAAACCAACCTCAGAAGACACAAATTACTCCTTTTCCCTCAAGTACCTTTCGGCAAAAGGAGTGAGGGACTCCTGATGGAGTATATGGCCCGGGAACACCCGGCCCACAGACTCCTACTACTCCAGTGAAAGCCCAAAAGGCCCAACAGGCCCAAATCACAGCGCCTAGAGCACCAAGCAGCCTGCAAAGCGCACCAGGGGTGCCTTCGCCCCCCCCCCCCCCCCCCCCCCCCCGGCCGAAGGCTCTAAACTCTCACAGAACGGGTTTTCCAAGCAAACTAAGTAACTGGGAGAAAAACTGCGGAAAACAGTAGCCCTCGGCATCTGGAGCCCTCGGCACTCAGGGGTCCTCGGCACCAAGAGCCCTCGGCTAGTCCTCTGCAGCCGAGGGCACCTCTCCCGACATGATGTCCGCCTCACATGCGTGCAGATCACCGTACCCTGTACAACGTCCCATCCAACAGCCGCATTAAATGCGGCCACATGCGTTTGCCAGCGCCAACCGGATGAGGTGACCTCCCGGCCAATGAGCGCTTGACACGTGTCCCTGTCCGACATTTATTGCTACTATAAATAGCACCTCATTTCCCCATTTGTAACCACGACATTCATACTAAATACACTCTCTCTCTTACTTACTTGTGCTCTGACTTCTCTCTAAGTTATTCTCAGCAATAACCCCTCGGATATATACCCCCCGGGTAGACTATCCATCAACCTCCCTCACCCCCCTTGATGGGAATTGAACCCAATGCCTCCCACAAAGGAGAAACTTGTGAGTGGATGGTCGGACTACACCCACCTTCCTTGAGTATTTCAATATAATAAGGCTTGACACAATGACACGATTAAGATAAGGTAGATCCACCTCCTTCGCACTGCAATCGTCAATCATTAAAACATTTGGCGCATATTGCATGTCTTAAAGTAAGGGAATGAAACCAAATGAAAAAATTAAGCAAAGGGTCGAATATATTATAAAAGGATTAAAACATTATGAGCATGTTTCTTAATACTCAAATCAAATTTATTATTTACTTCTGCTGAAATTTGTGAAGTTCTAGTTGAAATGACTGAATTAACTGATTCTGCTAATTTATGCAAAAAAAATAAAATATATTTTATTAATAAATAACTAAAAATTATATGAAAAAACAACTAAAATAATCCTTTACGCCAACCAGCGGCGGAACCAGACAATAATTTGAGGGGGTGCTGTTATATATTTTTTTGAAAAACAATTTTTTATAAGGATAAAATAAAAATGAGTGAAAAATAATTATTAATACATTTAGAGTAAGGTTCTAATAAAAAGAGTTATTCCCGTGAAAAATGAGAACGGGCTCATTTTTTACTCGTTTTGGTACACTAGTAGATATTTATTTTACACTTTTTCACAATGAGAGAAAATTTTGATTTATTTATCAAATTGTCACCGAGTTTTTGATAAAATATAGTGCATTGTTGACTGATTATGATTCATCAGATCTCAAGTTAAATGCACAAGATTTATTCTCAGTCAATTTTCATGATAAGAACTCTTTTTATTTGATCTGAAACTTATATATATGTATATGTAGTGTGTTTCAAATAAAAATGCTATTATACTAAACAAAAGGTAAATACTTATATTAACTTAAAGTAGTTTTAGAATTATTCTTGACATTAAATGACAACGTCCGTATATGTCATTATTAGAAGAAGAAATGATTAAAATTAATTTGAATTGAAGAAATGAGAATTTAAAATAAAAGATATAGAAATTCAAAAAGTGTGATTTAAACAACATTACATCCTAGAGTGATTTAATTGAACATAAATAATTACCAAATGGGCTAAAGTCTAAAGAAGCTATAATGGAGAAAACAAAAAAATATTGTTGCTCCTAAGAATTGAACCCAGGCCATTTAGGTAGACAGAACTCTCCCAATCTCAACCCTACCATTTGAACTATCACAACGCATAGGTTCAAATAGCGACTCCACTTTAATATATAAATACTTTCTGAACCGGAGCTGAGATATATACATGTATATACATACAGAACCACCGCCGGAGAAGGGGGAGCGCCGGCACCGGCTCGCCCCCCTAGTTCCGCCACTGACGCCAACTTCAACCGATATACGCACAAAAATAACTTGAAACATACTTTTTCGTATTATTACACAATTATGTGCGTAAAATCAAAAAATAAGTATTTGATAAAAAAGTTGGCTGATAAAGTGAAAACTATGATCACCATATTTCTTACATGGTCACACTTTGAGTTCATGTTGGGTTCTTTGTGTCACATCCCATTGCGTGCATTATACTACTTATTAAGTTATTATTATTATTATTCTTATTATTCTTATTATTATTGTTGTTGTTGTTATTATTATTATTGTTATTATTATTATTATTGTTATTATTATTGTTATTATTATTATTATTACTCCGTATTATTATTATTATTACTACTACTATACATCTGACGCC